TGAGCATAATCGCCTTTCACGAACAGTTCTTTCTGAATACAAAAAAAAGAATTTACGATTGAACAGCGGCGACTAAAATTGAGGAACTGTTAGGAAAAACTTTGAAGTTTTTGACGGAAACTTTCAAAATACGGAAGAAGATCACCAAACTTGATGTAAATCTATAGAAACTTGAGATAGAATGGGTGTGACGGGAAATGATTTCTGAAAATGTAAGCCGAATTGGTCAGTCAACGAAATGAACACAGTCGTACTTGATCAGCAAATATTTGATTGAACTCGGCCGCGTAAACGGGTACTTTTGGGTCTCGTGCAACCCAGAATTTTCTGTCGTCGACTGCAACGACGATAACCACTGACTTCTGGCATTGATTGTCCAACGTCCACTTTTTGAGCATCTGATTCGCCATATCCCTTACGGCCTTCAATCGTATTCGTTATTGAATATATCAGAAAGATCCCACGAATTATGGAACATTCATGTAATCTCGGCAATAATCTGAATCAAAAGAACCAAAAAGCTCATGAATGAACTGATGGATGATAGGTCATGCATTCAATGGGTATCGACTGCGAGGGAGAAAGGAATTACTGTGTACAATAACTGACTTGTTCAGAGCCATCTCTAACGTGTTTCGCGACAGCCATTGCTGCAGTGATACCTTTCTTCTGACAAAAATCCGGTGCGTGATCCTGAAGTCAGTCATTATGTTGGTCACGAAATATAACTTCTCAACTGACTGACACTTCCACAAAGGTTGCTTTTTTTCGTAATTTTTAAAATTTTTTAACAGGCAATTTAACATTTTTTTCAGCAGGCATTTTTTAACTTTAAAAAAATTTTTTTTGATTTCTATTCTTCGTACATTTATTTTCACCAGAAACAGGCAATCTACCTGTATGCCACAAAAACATTTAACGAATGCATATCATTTTGAAAACTTCGAATCAGGAACTTTTCAGATAGATGAGAAATTAGTTATTGTTACATCACTGATATATCACAGATTATGAAGCGGATCATTCAATTCATTTTAGCAATGCTCCAGCAACTACAAGAAATGTGCTGAAATTTGCTAACCACACTGTTCGTTTCAACTTCAAGTCCGGAAACGGTGAATGGAAGGGCGAGCATTACTGTGTATAGATA